ATCACACACAAACATAATTTTTTTTAATAACATGATGACTGTAAAACTTCACATACTCAATTGTCTTGAAACAATCTGGCAAAACCACAAAGCTACTTTTCAGGACATATGTATCAGGGTAGATTAGCACCGTTTCAGTGGAAGTTGAAAGTATAAAAGAGAAGAGTTAGGTACCTCTAAAACTTAAATGATAAATTGAACATATTCACAGTTACCTTTGCCTTTTTATAACTATCCTTTACTACAAAACTGTGAAATAACCTCAAAACTCAACAACAAATAAAGATATCAATCATACTCTCCTACAAAGCAGCTGACTCAAATTACATCGATTTTACTATGTTTCCTTAAACCAGTGACAACCCACTCCCCCAGATGACACATAGTGTTCTAGTAGCATCCATCACGTGGTTTATTATGGGTACTCTGCTGTCTACATTCATCCTCATCATCTCTCAGGTTGTCGGGAACTGCCCGGAGGTAGGAAGTACTAGAAGCGCTCGTAAAATCGTTAACACATCGCCAACACTAAACTACAAGCTAACGAAGAGTAAGCTGTAAACTACCACTTGTTATTCTGTGGTAACAATATGCAGAAAGCTCCTACAGATATTAACGGTACAATACAAATGGCTGTATGCATGCTGAAGTTTCAACATGGTTGCAGGTGCCATTCAGAGTATCACTTGATCTGTAAACAAAATAAATAAACAAAATTTGGTACAATAAGCCACATATATAAGATATCGAAAAGGTTATAATGGTGTTAGTATAATCCTGTTAGTTGCCTCTTACGACAAGCACAGTCGCCTTTTATGGCAAGCATGGGTTGCTGAAGACCTATTCTACCTTTGATCTTCACGAGTATGCTGTCAACGCGCATGCCCTAAAATGGACTATCAAAGAGGATGAACCTGTTGAATGTCTTTCAGTCAGTGCGTGATGTTGTCATTGGAGAATGCCTACACTGAAAAGGGTTAAATAGAATTGGAAGGCATCCAGTCTGTTCCAGTCAGCTGTGATGCCCTACATGAACAGTTTGTAGCTGTTTCCACTGGCAAATAACATAATCATTATATGTAAGCCAAAGAACATTAATTGTTTTATCAAAGACCTTGGTATAGGTGGCAGATCAAATATTGCCAAATATCTGCCGAAACCATGAATCAATACTGTCAACTTTTAGCTTAACCCTAAAGCCTTATGACATCTCCTTTCCTCTCTAGTTCTGGATTCCAAAGCGCCATGAATATCATTACAAGGAGAGATATTGCAGGGTCCAGCAAATAAGAATAGTCCACTTGTAGAGAGCCATACACGCAAGGTACGCTCGAAGCGCTACATTAGCATTATCCTTATAAATGGATCAATGTGCCCTCGATTTGCATTCTCAGCTCCATTGGGAGTAAACAAAAAGGTTACCAGTCACATTGACATCTCATCCTACCGGGTATCCATTCCCTGCTGGGTAAACAGAGGCATATTTTGAACAAAGTCACTTGCCGAAGGACACACCGCATTTTGCTACGTGTGCGCCAGTCTGGGGGAGGACTGAATTTGTCAAAAATAAAAGCAACTGTCATCTGAAATTTACTGAGAAAAAGAGACGTATAGCCGAATGTGTTTCCGTATTGTAAATATCATATATTAAGAACAAAAAGTGTATTGTGCGAGCCATTTGCGATAACAATACATATTTCTTCTTCGCTATATATGATATTTACAATACGAAAACGCATGAGGGTAATAATCTCTTAATGTCATGTTTTTGATGACCTTATTTGCATATTTATCGGATCTTGATTATTAAGTTTATCGGACTGGTTTATCACATCGATAACACTAACCAATATATAAGAGTAGGGATACTCGTAAATAAGTTAATATTTGCCAATTTGTAAGATATATTGGTTTCCAGTTACAGCTGTATGATAATATTGAACGAATTTGGAAGACATAACAACCGGTAGTGACGTTTGACAGTACAGTAAACTACGGTTATAACGAACACGCTTATAACGAACTGACGGATATAACGAACTTACTTTTTGGTCCCGACTACTTGCTGTAGTCATGCTGTATATGTTCTTATAACGAACTACGGTTATAACGAACTAAAATTAATAGTTCCTTTGAGTTCGTTATAACCGTAGTTTACTGTATATGTTATTACCGAGCAACGATCTTGAAGGACGACAGGGGTAAGACGGGAAATTTCAAAGTGTTTGACACTTTCAAGGAAGGTTGTTTACTCAGTGGAGCATTATTTCTGTCCCTCTTATTGATTCTGCTTGTCATACAGTTGCGATTTACTTCATTTCACTGGTGTATGAAATAGCGATGCTGCTCTGCAAAGCGCTGAGCGCCTACGGGCTTTTGGCATGCTGAAAACTGTAAGGGTACAGTGGCCAATACGGACAATGCTTCACAGTATGTGATTAGCACTTTTGATAGCTAACAACAAACCAAAATTGTTAACGATCCACTCGTTCATGGTGTCCCAGGTCAACGACAAGAGTACAGGATCGATTGATCCGAACCAGAGTCGAAAACGAGTTCACTTTGTACGTCCTTGCTAGGTGTGGTCGTGTCAAGCCAGTGTTAACCTGGGATCACATGCCAGATTTTGCGGTGGATCGGTTATGGTGTCAGCTGGCATCACTATGACATACCAAACCCCACTACATATTGTGCGACCCGTGAAGATATGGGATAGAATAGAACTTCAGCAACCCATGCTTGCCGTAAAAGGCGACTATTCTTGTCGTAAGAGGCGTCTAACGGGATCGGGTGGTCAGGCTCGCTGACTTTGTTGAAGCATGTCATCGATCCCAATGGCATTGATCGATTGTCTTGTCCAGACACGATTATTTACAGACCACCGGCATATAGCTGGAATACTGCAGAGTGCGGCGTAAAACAACAAACCAAGGAACCAACATATTGTGCAAGAAAGGGTCACTAGACAATACTATCGGGACAACATTCTGACACTCGTTGTCCCGTTTGCAAGGGTTGTAGTTCGACGTTTTGTCTTTCTAGACAACAACGCCCGTTCACGAATCGCCAATGTTCACCTCCAGCAGCAGAACATCCATAGAATGTCACGGCCTGTAATGAGCCCAAACTTTTCCCCCATTGAACACGTCTGGGACATGATAAGGTGACGTGTGCGTCAACGTCATATGCCGCAGACCACGTTATCTGAACTTGGCCAGGCGCTGCAAGAGGAGTGGACCAGACTCCCTCAAACGTAGTATTCCTCGTCGAGTGAATGAATGTTTGACAAATCGTGGCGGTATAAGGCACTAAAGATCCAAAAACATCAACTAATATCTTTTACAATTTTGGACATTTTAAGTTATTTCCGAGTATCCACTACTTTTTTAAAGAATATGTGTATATGATATAACAATATGTGAAATGCTGGACTTCCTAATAGAAATGTGAAATTTGGGGACAGTACATTTAGGCAAGGAGTGGCATCAACTGAGGTTCACCAACTGTCGTCTTCTCTTTTCCAGTCTTTTCTTTATGCATATATATCGGAATATCTTCTCGGAGAGGCAATTTCAAAACACGGGAAATTGGCAAAGAACGTAAACTTCATGTATATCGATGAACTCATATTATTCAATAACGGTAAAATAGCCGATTCACTTCCACTGATTTACCCACCTGGACTAGAAATAAAGGAGACCAATGAAATACTTGACTTGTCTTTCATGTGTTTATATAGGGTGCCACCAGTGTGGCAGGATACTCCCGACTTTTCACTACTGGTAGCATCACAGTTTGATAGAGATTGGAAAACACCTGTTTATGATGCAGTCGGAATCGAACAATGGACCCACTTTATTTGTTCTCCATCACAACAAAATAAACTCTGTACGAAACATTAAATCACAGCCAGTAAATTGAACGTGCCTTATGCAGTAAAATCTAAAAAGTGACAAAAGATACTAATTTGAAGTACATTTAGGTCACATTGATGGACAAAAACGTAAGCCCCTTTTGAGTAAGCCAAAGTGAGCTAAAAGTAATGACATGGACCTGTTGAAAATGTTGTTGTTACACAAACAAAACTTGACCGGTTTATAGGAATACCTTTACGAATCAGGAACTAGTTGTACCTTTTAACAGGAACATATTGTACGTTCACAAAATATAATAACGTGTGAAATGAATTAGATTTTTACCATAACACGATTCCAACAAAACAGCCCATGCTTTTCTATTATAGTGTAGCAATCAACGTCTGCAAAAAATGGCGAAATGACTGTTGCATAGGTTTATCAGTATATATGTTCAGTGTAATACATTTCGTGTATATATATTTTCAGGTGAACAACTGATTTTTCATGCGTTTGTGACGGGTGCCACAAGCGGGGCAGGATATGCTCGCCTTTTCGCGAACGCCTGGTATTTCTTAGCATTAGTTACATGCTTTATGTGTATGAGAACAGTTTCCTGAATGCCGTCTGTTACCCCGAATTTGATTATGTATGTGAAAGTATGGATGAATTATTGTATCTGTACCACCAAACATTTGTAAAGATCATTGGTTGCACATCTTCAGCGCGTACACAATACACCCATCGCCACCTGTCAATCAAACAACATGATTTACCAAACAGAGTAGGTCATCACCTGTCCAACGGTTATCAATGTCACAGATATTATTTAGTTCAACTTTCAAGAAAGTCTTGTTGTATGTTGAATATAGTTTCTGTACAGCGCAACTGCGAATCTAAATGGATCTGAACAAATCGAGCAAGTAGAAAACGTGAAATATGGAGGATAAACTGACTGAACTTATTTTACATTTCTGTGATGTTTCTTTGGTATTAATATTTACACTGATTGTTTGGCAACCTTAGTCGTCCTATTTTATCTGTTGCATCGTAAACGTTTGTAAAGGAAAGGTCAACTATCTAAACACGTTAAAGGTTGTTAAATTTGACTGTATATTACAAAACGCTTGCTTCAACGGATGTGTACTGCAAAAGAAATATGTTACCTAGGATGTCGTGGCAGCGATGATAGCGATGATGAGGACAGGAATAATCACAGCGATTGCCACAGTGTCATAAGGGATGTTCTCGCCCGCTAAGGAGATCGTAGGCCCATGATCTAGATAATTCGAATAAACACAGTGTGGCAGTGTATCAAGATCAAAATCATTTCACATTCAGATAACATGTCCATTCATTTATGCCTAAAAAAGTTCAAACGTTATACACACTTGGTGTTTCTTAACTTCAAGAGGTTTTGAGTTAAAGTAATATCAAGGTACCATCACAACATAATAGCATGCTCCAAAGCTCTGAAATGTTGAGAAGTGTGACACGATAACAATTTCAACATGGCTGCTTGGGCGGCCATGCTCTGTATTAAAATATATACATATTCTAGGACGGAGTGGTGAGCGTCGTGTAACTTACCTTAATTACCTGATATATCCGTACCATAAAAGTGAGTGTTTTAAGCCGATTTTAACAATATTCCAGCAATATGGGCTTCACACAAAGTACCCATATAACAAAGATAAAAAAATGTATACACATTGCTAGGACTTTTACACTAAGGCTTTGAAATGCGATAACGTTTTACTGTATGTTTTGCTATCATCATTAGACAGACCTAAAAATACACAAACCATCTGCTAAGTGCATTGGAGTATTACTGGTCAACTACCTTTGACAATACACATTTGCAAAAATATCACATGTACCAATTACCCTGGCCATTTTGATACAATCAGTCAAAAGTTAGATTCAAGTTCTTGGACGACATTGTTTGGACTTACCACTGACAATGTAAACAGTATATCTTGATGTAGAAGGCAAAATTGCTTTCTGTCTATAGTTAGTTAGCTGTTATAATATTAAATGAACTGACTCTACATCGATCCATCTATAGAGACACCCATTTAATTGTTACTTAGTTTTGGGAAAACATGTGAGAGAAGGCTACCTAAATAGCAAACAAGCGTACTCAAAGCCAGAATCCAGTTAGGGATCCATTTTGAGTTTCATGACGCTTAAAATTATCCAGCTTCACCAAATGAAGCTAAAAATAGACGAACATGTGTTTGGTGTGGAAAAATATATAAGCTTAGGAACTGTGATCAAGTTATTTTGAATTTGTGATGATTGCATTGGTCTTACAGATACCCTAAAAATAAGTGTCGCTGAGCGAAGATTTGTGTTAAATGCGAAGGTTTTACCAATTATGTCAAATTATATTTCGATTCATCCAGGAAGATGGGTAACGTGTTCTGTGTTATGGAGAAAACGAGCTTTCGTGTTCAGTGCTGGCAAATTGACGGATGTATTGATGACTACAGAAAACTCATGAATTAAGTTCACTTTGAATTTCTCATAATGAGCTATATGCAGACAGGAATCATAAGAAAAACTATCCCGGCCTCACGATTTGAAATCACGCTGTTGCAGGGGTCATCCATGGACAGAGTCGGTGTACTGGTTCTTAGGTTGGGCTTAGAAAATTTATCAGATTAGAACGGACGGACAGTCGCCGAGCGCGCAATAACTATATATAAATATATTGAAACAAAATGAATGATACAGTTGATATTTATCTCCATTCGTAAAATCATATATGGTGTCACATTTTGAATCACCATGTCATAGGAATCCAGAGTGATATCAAGTATGGCTCACAACTGAGATTGAAACGAAGAATTTAAAATGTCCAGAAACGTCTGAGTAGTAAGTGTAGATACATGTATGTATCTGTGTGTTAGGCAATGCTTGGATGCACGTTCTTGATTTTCTATTCGCACTTTTATTATTATAACAAACAAAAGAACAAAGAAACATCGTATAGCAAAAAAGGTGTATTTAATATTACATTATACAGTAACAATGTTACAACTATTCCATGAAAACTGACTAGTTTCATTCTTATTGCAATGTAAGCACGTACAGAACATTCAATAACATGAAAAGGAAGGGCACCTAAATATAAGATCTAAGTTGTGTATGCAAATACAGGGAAAGCTCACAGCTATAATTAGCTTTAATTGTACGGAGATCTGTGATCCCTATTTACATCTGGAGAAGGAGTGGGTTATTGATTTTACCCGTGCGTTATCAAGGAAGTAAAGAGGCGAAGGGGTGGTATGTGCAATGTGTGAAGGTCCTCCCCATGATATTCTGTCCTGCTTATAAACACACTCTGTCAGTCATGACTTTCCAACACACATGTGTAGTTTTCATTGATATAAATATGAAATGAGAGGTCCTTTTAGATTTGCACTATGATGTTGGTGTTGATGGCTTTCATTCTGACACTGTGACATATCTTTACATGTAATGTCTCTTAAAATTGAGACTAGTGGAAAAACTTCGTACCTTGATCCATGAGGTATCTGTTACTAAACGTGAGGACCATCTATATATAGCTACAACTCTACGTTCAGAACACATGCACATGATACACTTGCAATCGTACAATGGACTCTGCTTTTAGTAGAGATTTCATAGAGATTTTGGTCGTTTTTTATGTATTTGAATGGTACAAGTACTTCGTGACATTCATACACAATCTATCCTCATTTAGGGAAAGAACCTCTGGAATATGATTTTGAGAAGATGAACAAATTGTTGTTGAAACCAATGTATTTAGATACAAATAGATGCAAAATAAAGTCCTGAAAGCACATGCATCCGGATCTAGTCTGAAACGAAAATACCATCGTAGGGATTGAGGTAGAATTAGTCCCCAGCAACATATGCTTGTCGTCGGAGGCGACTTAGATTGACAGGGTGGTTAGGGTTGGTGCTTGCGTGTCATCATGTCAAATGGACAGCGTAAGGCTCTACTCAATATTTCAATGACTGGTTCGTGCGTCACAGTCCTACAAAATATGATCTTGAAGATCCTTTCTAGAATCAGGTGAATGTGGCTTGATGCCATGGAACCAGAAATAAACCTGCGGACACCAAGCTAAATTGCAGCCTCGAAGATGAAAGACTTTTTCACGTGCAATTACACGTGACTCAAATATTGAAAATTTGGTTGATAAAGGAGTCCATGGGTGGCTGAAAACTAAACAATACGTCCATTGAGACAATTATGGACTTTCATTAAATGGGTAAGCTCCCTTTGCCCAATGCACGATGGGAAACAGAAACATTACTTGGCATAACTGTGAATGCTAATATGTCACGACCTCGCGGTTACATTCGTACTGAGCAGGATGACGTAGTTAACAAGTGCTACACTCCCCAGTTATACACCAGCTGTGGACATTACACCATGGGGGCATGAAATATGAAAGACATTCCACATGCTAATCCCATTAAGAAAACATCAAGAGGATGTATCCTTTAAATAACGCAGACAAATTAGAATATCTAATTGCTCTTCTTTCGTCACGTTCAGATCACTTTAGGTTCCACTTCCATCATTTGAGATCACTGGAGAGGCATACTTATTGAGCACGAGAGTAGGTATGCATTACGTCATTGGTGCACTTGCTTCCCTGTCTTGTGTGATTTGGTTCGGTTTCCTGTGGATAAAGAAATAAAATCAGTTCCTGACAATATGTTGCCATTTACACAATACCTTGTCCAGATAATTGTAGCTTTATGAGCTCGACTCGCAAGAATTATGTAACGAAACCTTGGTACCTTTTCTAAGAAGTTATATATCCTATATGAAATTGAAGTTGTTAGACTTTCTAACAATCCCAGTTTGAAATATAGCAAGGTTACGTACTCTTCACGATACCATAATCAGAGCCTACTCAAAGTTCCACTGATTTCATTAATTGTGGATTACCTCTTTTTTCGTCTCCAGTATAGAAATCCAAGTACTCCAAGAAGGGCAATAACACCAAAAGCTATCAGAACTCCCAGAACTATCGTGACGGTATCTCCTGCAATAAATGACAAGAGCGTTACCAGACATAGTGGACACATTTCCGATTTTTAGAGGAACAAGAAGACAAAACCATCTCGGTTCCAGCCCTACTGACCCTTTATAAAATCTCACACAACAACACATGCAATGAATACGAACAAAACAAGTAACGGTAACTTCATATGAAGTGGTGTAAATGCTATGTTATTGAACATATAAACATATTAGTTGGGCATTTGTCTGATCAATGTTTTATCACATTTAACACATTCATTGATAAAACCCATACCTGGTACCAGGAGACAGAGAGAAAAGACCTAAACGAGGGATGGTGTAACAACTCAATTAATAATGTCAATATCGGATGTGAACATGCGTTGATACAGGCGAGTCAGCGGGGTGCATTGAATACACTAGATGGTTGAAAATAGCCTTCGGGATGTTATTTCAAATGTCAACCAAGCATTGGTCCAACTGAGCTAGCGTTATGTGCTGGGTCTGGTCATGTCGTAGGTGTCGTTCTCGCTCATCCCAGACATGTTCTGTGGGGAAGAGGTCCGAAGAAACAGCTGGCCATGGCAGTACAGCAATGTCATGCTGCCTCAAAAGTCTGTGAAAAAACGTGCAACGTATTGGCGGGAATCCTGCTGCAACGTGACGTTACGTCCCTGCATTTGAGCAAAAGGTACAACATGATCTTGAGCGATGTCCTCCCCGTAGCGTACGCCATTAAAATTGACATTAGCAATGATGAGTTGTGTTCCCTCCCATGACTTGTGGTGCCAGCCCGTACCAATACACTTCCAACGCCAAAAACCTGACGACGCTGAGTAACGCAAGCGTCGCTAAAAACGTTTTCCCAGACGCCTGAAGACCCTTGCACGACCATCAGAGCTGTACAGATGAAACCTGTACTCATCATATAGTCCCAGTCTGGTCTTTTGAACCTCAGATGTGGTATGCACCAAGCTTGTGGTGCCAGGCGGTGAAGCAAAATTTGGCGTATCGCTGGACGTCGGGGCCGCATGTTGTGCTCCCTGAACCGGCTGCATACGGTTCTGCCCCTTATTGGTCATAACCCAAGAACTGTTAATATGGCAGTTTTGTATCGATTCCGTAGATGCACCAAACGATTTCGGTGGTCTTGTTGACGTGGCGTCACACGTGGACGACCGCTACGTGGAAAGTCACTAGTGTTGTTCTGCTGCAGATAACGTCTCCAAAGAGATAATATTGTGTCT